TTTTGTTTTTAGCATGTCATTGTTGCTTTTGTCGACGCGATGGGAGGAAAAGAAAAGCTGTTTGAGATGCACTACTTAGCAAAGGTTTTGTTTTCATCCGTTCTTCGGTTTCCCGAGGCAATGTTTGGGCAAAGGGTATGGACTTGGATATTTCTTTTGACACGAGCGCTGCATGGCATTGAGAGTGAGAAGTGAGGATATGGCGTTTTCTGGTGACGATGATGGGACCGTGACACGAGTATAGTAATACTGATGATACCCGCCAGCCCTACACAAAGGGGCTGGCATTGCGATTTCTGGAATGATGTTTGCCCCTGACCCAGCCGTACCAAGTTTAGCTCCCTTATCTCCCTTCCCGGATCCGAGATGTAGCGGGCTTTGTAGATGTAAACGTGAGCCAACGTTATTTACCTTGGGCGTAGCGCAGGGTCCTGACCGTGGTCGCGGCTCTCGTGAGACACTATTGGCTGCATGGCAAGCAATATAATGCTTGGCCGCATACCTTTGCTGCACGGGACGCTGGGAACGGTACACATTGAAGAGGATTCAAGGTCGAGATTCAACGGCCAATTAGTGTAATTCCAAGACATCCATTGCATCCAGCGGCACAAGATGGCTGCCCTGGCTCCCGGAGAATAGATGGTCCCCGGACGGTAAGCGAACGCCAAGACGATGCACTCCCAGATTTTACGGTCGCGGCCGTATCCAGAGTCGATACGATGCGCTAGCAGCGTCTAAAATGGAACCATCGACCAGCTGCCCCGCTTTTAATGCTTGTTTGACGGGTCGCTGGCCACTTGGCGAGCGCGTTCAGCCAGATCGAGACATTGTGATTGGCTGGGGACTGCTCGCACCTGCCGCGACCGCTACCGAATGGCAGCCTGGAAACGGCAAAACTGTCCCTCCGAACGGCTCTCTGCCACTATCCGCAGGGCTGATTCGTACCTCTGGCTGGCATAAAGACTCGAGACCCCTGGCTAATTACCACTCAGGAGTGCTTTGCTGGCTTCCCCACCTTTGCCCTCCTTCATTATCATACGTATACGTCGTCTTTCGACCCTTTTTTCCTCGCCCCCCCCTCGGGTATCGTCGTCCATTCCATTTCTACCGAGAATATATTATCTATTAATCAGGCTATTTGTTACTTTTGCAGGCCAAGCCAATCTGCTGGTCGACCGTTTGTCTATATATTGTATTTTGTAATGTTTACCTGACCTGGCGTTCCCACTCCAACATTCGTTACCCGAGCAAGCCTCGACTATTTGAGCACCACGCGACCTCCGGTCGTACCGACGATCGCCGTACCCCTTCCAGATTCCCAATTCCACCAACTGCGGTGGCGCACATACCCGCTTCAATTCTACGACAATCTCGAAGACACGTCAGACATCCTCCCGGAAGCTTGGGGCGCCGGACATAAGCTTCCGTCTGGGAGTTGAGACGTGCGGTAGCACAAGGACAAACCACACCATCCACGGCGGACGGCCCGCACTTGTGCATTGGGTTGGACGAGTCGCCAGGCAACATGGTCATCAATCCGGGGGCCGGGCTTCGCAGCCTCTTGTGGCTGGGGCTCCTGAACACGGCGGGAGCTTTCTACATCCCGGGTATGTTTCGCGCATCGACCTGGCGGCGTTCATTTTTGGCGCGCGGCGGACAGCTAACGGAACATTGGTTTTTTAGGTTGGTCGATTCTGAGCTACAAGGATGGCGAGCACATCCCGCTACTGGTGAACAAGGTTTACTCCGACAACACGCAGCTCCAGTACGCCTACTACGACCTCCCGTTCGTCTGCCCCCCGACCGGGAAACACAATGCAGGAGGGGGTCTGCTGAGCGGGCAGAGCATCCCCCTCAACCTGGGCGAGGTTCTGCGCGGAGATCGGATCATGGTTTCGGACATTGACCTGGAGATGGGCAACGACAACCTGTGCCACTCGCTGTGCAGCGTCAAGCTGTCTCACGATGATGTGCGCCGCGCCGAGGGCATGATCCAGGAGGGATACGTCACTGAATGGATCGTGGACAATCTCCCCGGTGCTACCAGCTTCGTTTCGGTCGACAAGACGCGCAAGTACTACGCCGCCGGTTTCAAGTTGGGATACACGGAGTATTCCTATACTACCAAGATGATGCACACTTACATCAACAACCACCACACCATCGTGCTCCGCTACCGCAAGGCTCCGGGGAAAGCTGGCGACCGCGGGGAGAAGATCATCGTTGGATTCGAGGTCTATCCGAAGAGTATTGGCCCGGGCAACCGCCGAGATGAGAAGGGATGTCCCATCGATCTCGCGCAGGTGGATGGCGCCTTTGAGCTTCAGAAGAACAAGACGATCCAGGCTGACGGAACACTCAGCGAAGATGGCCTCACCATTCCCTTCTCGTACTCGGTGTACTTCCGCGAGGACGACAGCATCGAGTGGTCGCATCGGTGGGACTTGTACTTTGTTAACCAGGAGGAGGGCAACCGCATCCACTGGCTTGCCATCATCAATTCTCTCATCATCTGTGGTCTCCTGACGGGAATTGTTATGATCATTATTGCCAGGACTGTCCGAACAGATATCAAGGGCTACCAGGAGGCGGTTACCCCGGAGGGAAAGCTCAGGGTCAAGCGCAGGGTCAAGTCCGGACTTTTCAAGGAGAAGCCCGCCGGCCTCCTCCAGCAAGAAGGCGAAGACGAAGAAGCTGGCCTGTCAGAGGAGGAGGAAGCTTTGGAAGATGTTGCAGGCTGGAAGTTATTGCATGGCGACGTCTTCAGGCCACCTCCCTTTGGCGTTATCCTGGCCCCTCTGGTTGGATCCGGTGTGCAGCTCCTGGTCATGGCTCTTGGACTAATTGGCCTGAGCGCCTTTGGAGTGCTCAACCCCAGCTTCCGTGGTGGTTTCATCAGTGTTGGAATCGGTCTGTTCATCTTTGCTGGCTTGTTTTCGGGATACTTCTCTGCTCGGACATTTAAGAGTTTCGACGGGCAGGACCACCGCCGAAATGCCTTTGTCACGGCTATTCTGTTCCCTGGCCTCTGCTTCTCGATTATGTTCATCATGAATCTATTCGTCTGGGCGCAGGCCTCGAGCACGGCAATTCCATTTGGAACGCTGTTGGCTATCGTGGTGCTTTGGCTCTGCATCCAAGTCCCCCTCGTGTACGCTGGCTCATACTACGGATACTGGAAAGCAGCAGCTTGGGAGCATCCTACCAAGACCGCAGCCATTGCACGGCAGGTTCCAAAGCAGGCATGGTACATCAAGTCGCTGCAGTCTATTCTCCTGGCGGGCCTGATCCCATTTGCCGTCATCTTCATCGAGCTGCTGTACGTGTTCCAGTCTCTCTGGCAGGATAAGAGCGGGTACTACTACGTGTTTGGATTCCTGGCTGTGGTCTCTGTGATCCTGATTGTTACCATTGCCGAGGTGACGATTGTGACTGTCTACGTCCAGCTCTGTGCTGAGAATCACAACTGGTGGTGGCAATCGTTCTTGGTCGGCGGAGGCAGCGCGTTCTGGATCTACGGCTACTGCGTGTACTACTACTTCTTCAACCTGCACATCACTGGTGTCACCAGCAGCTTGCTCTTCTTTGCATACAGCTTCATGGCGTGCTGTGTGTATGGCCTATTGACGGGAACCATCGGCTTCCTGAGTGCCTATGCATTTGTTCGACGCATCTATAAGTGAGTGGACCCGTTGCGTAACATCGATCACTCAAGACTCAACTAACTGGAAATAGTGCGATCAAGGTCGACTAAGGAGAGAAGAACGTATGACGACGACAAAGACGAAAGAGGAAGAAGTGGAAGCAATGTGTGTGGTACAAACATATGAAAGCGGCATCTGTGCAACTTGGGGCGTTTTGTATTGTGATTTTGGAGATGGAATGTGAAATTATTAATTTCTAATCAATGTCCGAGGCTTTGTGATGCTACCTCCTTGGAACCTAGCCCTTCGTCTTAATGATTGGATATGGCGGGGAAGTCTTGGTGCTCTCTGTCTCTATCTACTCGTGGCCCCATTGCGAGTCCGTCTCTGCTGACCTCTCCCTGAGTGCGGCTCTGAGACGTTCCTGTCCGCCAAGAGATAAGAGAAACAGTCGGGTATGCCTCGTGTTATTTAACTGTGGAGGACCAGGCGTTACCTTTGGATGTTGGAAACTCAACTATACGTGATTTATCAGAGCATCACACCCTTTACTTCTTTTCTTTGTATACATCTTATAGATCAAATGGCAACATATCTATTTTTTATTTATTTATTTACCAAACATCCCACAGGATTGAGTATCACTGTTACACTGGCTCATCAGTATTCTAAGCATGTCTTGTATATCAATAAGCGACTCTTTGGGGTAGGGAACTCCTCCGTGCGCGATAGGTATCATGTGGACGATATCCTCGAGATTTGCTCAGATTGCTTGGCATCCATGGCAATAACAAAGGCAATAATGGGATGTTATCTTCACGAGCAGCGGGGAATGATAACACGAAGGCAGCTTGGCGCCATTGGAGCCTCCTTGATCGACCGGAATACCTTCACCTTCTAAATCGGGGTTCAGCCGGTGAACGGTTCTGATATAAAATTTTTTTCTTCCCAGCTCTCAGTTAAAGCTTGAATCAACAGTCAACGAAGAAAGGCCCCATTTCCACAATCCGAGCTTTCATAGCCATGAAACCGCCAAAGTTCTTCTCAAGCGTAATGCGTAATCAGAACCTGTGCCGCCTGCACACACCCCTCTGCCCGCCGAATGTGGATGATGGGCACTGCAGGGGCCCAAATCCATCAGGCCAGGCCAGGGACACGCCCGCGGCGGTTGGTCAGCGCCCGGAAGTTCGGCCACGGTGCCCTGCTTTTGTCGTGCAGATGGAGGATTCGCACGATGCGAGCTCGCTTCGCACCTTGGCGTGGCGGGAAGTGGCCGGAAAAATCAAAGCAGAGTTGCAGATCTGGAAACCGTGCCAAGCCGTAAACAGACTAGAATAGAATCATCATCAGATTGTGATACTACGTGTAGCGGTTAAGGTGGGAATCATGGTGCGCAGGAGAGGCCTGTTGGGATGGAAATTCATGGCCGTTAGCTGTTTATGCTTCTGGTTGAGCTTCATTTTCAAGAGTTTCAAAGACAGCAGGATTGGATCCGGGGTAGACAGTAGGGGGAATATTGAACTTCTAGTTCATGTCATGATATTCTTTCTCTATGCGTATAGTGGTATCTTATGAGGCGGCCGTTAAGAGCTGGGTCAAGTGCCCAGCAGCGTTATTGACGTGTGTCCCTTTCTCTGTTGTAGTAGGATCTCCTGTGTCGACGTCGGTCATGAGCATCCTCATCATTATCGTAATCATCATCATCACCCCAGTCTCCCCTTCTGCTCCGCCTCCCGCTCTGTCTTCTGTCCCCGTCGAACCTGCTCAGATCGCGGTTTCGATGCTCACCTCTGCGATATCCATCGTCGACGCTTCCATTCCATGTCTCGGACCGGGCCCGGCGGCCACCGATGCTCTCGCTTCTGTTCCTCCTGATCTCTTGACCTTTGCGTAGCTCACGGTCTCTGTTTGCTTGTTCTTCCTCTTCCTCCTGCTCTCGTCTCCTTCTCTGGTATCGTTCCAAGTTTCTATTGATGCTGAAGACCGCGACTGCGCCCGTCAGCGCCAGCATAGCGGTCTCGGTCCAGTCAAACCCGCCGTACATCTTCTCAACTTCCTTGCATGTCATCGTACGTTCACAAGATTCATGGCGGCGACGGCGAGAAGAAGATGAGGAAGGGGATGAAGAAGGATGACGGCGACGGGGATCATGCTGTGGGCGCCGAGGTAGGTCTAAATCATATTGCCGGCGTGTATCCAGGTCCAAGTCATACTGTCGTCGTGAATCCAGGTCCAATGTGTATCTTCGGCGTGGGTCTAGGTCTGGATCATACTCTTGACGTGAAGCTAGATCTGGGTCAAATCGTCGTCGCGAAGTAGTATCCAGTTGATATTCTCCACGAGAGCCAGGCTCTAGTTCATATTCTCGGCGTGAGGCTGGCTCGACTTCATACCCTCGCCGCGGGTCCAGGTTTGAATCGTACTGCCGACGCGGATCCAGGTCGAGATCATATTGCCCATGAGAACTTGGCCTCAGTTCGTATTCTTGACGTGGATCCGGGTCTACCTCATCTTCTTGGCCAAACTCCAAAGCTGGATCATGTTGTTGACGAGGTTCCAACTCTGAATCGAGTTGTTGACGCGTGGCTAGGCTTAAATCATGGTGTCGACGTGGAGGCAAGCTCAAGTCATGGTCCGAAGACATTCTTGTCAGTCGAGCATGCCGTGTTCCAGGTATCAATCTGTATTATTCGTTGTTGGGGCGCAGACTTAGCGATCACAGTAACGTGTGTCGATTTGAGATGCCTACGGAGAGAGCGCACTCTATTCTGGTATGGGGTAGTTGGTCATGAACATTGGGAAAAGGGAAAGGGGAATGGCTTGCTGGAGTGGTGATATGCTCCACTCATATTATATGCATGAGATTTTATATCTATAATGCCTCCATTGTACGACCCATGGTGGAACGGACGGCACAGGATTTAATGAACCATGGACAGATAGCTCACGTAATGCATGGACGTACGTGGCAGGTTTCGTTCGCTTAACCATGGATCATGGCAGATGCAGCTGGCAGCCAAGGCTTTACGGAAATAGACTCCTACATAAGCTTAATCCTTCGCGGGTCCTTGGGAAGGGTGATCTTGGCAAACGGAGCGGTCAAGACAGTGGAGCGTCTCGGCGTCGAGTTGAGTCTGATTGGCCTGTAGTGTTATTGCCAAGACGGGTGGGATGATGCTTCGTGAAACAATGATGTCGACATTATCTAGGTATCTCTGCTCTGCTTCTTGGTTGACTACATTGCATACTGCCAAGCCGAGCATTATATGCTCGCTCTTCGTGGGGCAGTAGTTCTCCGCATAGCTTCCTTTGCCTCGGCCTCTTCCAACATGGGGAGGGCTTTCTTATCCCTCATCTTTTGGATGAAATCTTGACCATATTTATACCCTAGATTGTAGATCTCATCAAACTTGCCAAAATCAAGTGTACCATACTCATCAATTGGCGGTCGCATGTACACGCATCCTGGCATGATCTTGGCGCGTTCAAGAGCATCCACACTCGAGACATAAGCCAGCCGGGCCTGGATTTCTGCCAAGGTAGGTGGATTTGGATGCGACGAGAAAGGATTCCACCGGTTGAAGAATGCCCACACCCCTGACAATGAATCGCCGTATGTCTGAGGCGTGTTGTCATCCAGTGCACCGACGTCAATGGCGAAGATAATATCAACGCCAAGACCCTTCATGTGAGACACTGTTAGATTGTCCACATACCCTCCATCGAGTAACATGCTACCCTCATCACTCAGTGGCGGTAGTAATCCAGCCAAAGACATGGAAGCTCTGATATACCTCCATGCGTAGCCGCTGGTGTGGAACTCAGCTCGGCTTTTGCTGATATTCGTTGTATTGCAGTAGTACTCCAGCCAAAAGTCCTCAATCTGGGTATCTCCAAAAGCTTTGAAAATACCTCTGTTGAACTCATGCCCTGTAGTGTACGAGGCAGAAGGGTAAGTCAGGTCCAAGGCGAATCGCCACAGACTTGCCATGCGGCCAGCGAATCTCTTCGCGAATCCAAACATGGGAACTACATCTGCATGTCGTGCATAGAGAGCACCTACAAAGGCACCGATGGATGTCCCCCCAACCATGTCTATCGGGATACCAGCCTCTTCAAGAGCCTTGATAATACCGATTTGACTGATACCTCGTGCTCCGCCTCCGCCTAGAACAAGACCAATAGACTTGCCACACAGACGTCGAGCGAGTCGATGGAAATCTCCCTTGTACGGGGTTTCGGGCGAGTAGTAAGGGGTATGATGAATCTTTTTCGTCGAGGTGTATTTTTGAATTTCTGCTTGCAGAACTTGAACCCGCTCCTTCAGAGCCTGGCCGAGTTTCTTTGACGGCGGGTGAACTGGGATAGGATTCATTCGAAACGCCATTTGAATATGGAAATGCCCCCCATTGATCCACATCCGATTTCGAAGCCAGGCTCTTGTCAGTCCTGGTGGAGATAGACGCTCCGTGTGAAGAAGGACAAGCGTCTTTCGGGCTGTCGACTTCATTCCTAACATGAAGCGTTCGTACTCCCCAATGGCAGGTGATCCTTCGGCCACACCGACAAGTAGAATGCTATCAGCTTGAGAAATACATGTTTGAGTCCAAGGCGAGTTAACATTGGTATCTGTAACATTACCTCGGCGTTAGCATGGTATTCTTCCTGAGAATGCAACAGCAGCATAGATAATCGTTTGGAAAATAGGATCAGGAAAAAATTAGAGTTAACATGTACCATCAGCGGCTTTGCCTTTGGACATAGGGGTTTTATCATCATAAAATCGAGGTAGTGGGGTGAAGAATTCGCACAAAGCAAAATGAACAAGCTCATGCTTACCTGCAATATACACCACGAGACCAAACTTCTCTTCGAGGTCGGCAAGATACTGAGAGAGTTTCAACTTTCCCATCTTGTTGAAGGCATGTTTTCCAAGGTGTTTGAGAATCGCTGTCTGGTGGAGGGATGTAGCACCATTAGGCGGACCGACTTGTGCGAGTGCATTCAGTAATCGGTTGCCAAACTCAACAACGGGAACACCGGCCGTGACAGGCAAAATGGCAACGGTCCGAAGATTCAACGCCGACTTGCGCTGGTTTGCAATTGCACCAGCGGTAGTTTCTATGCCCTGGTAGCTTGTAGGATCCTCAAGAACTGCCCTCATACGAGAAGCGATGATTTTGGATATCTTAATCGTGATATTGGGGTGCTCTTGGGCTAAGCTGTTGAAGAGTGTCTTCGGAAACTTGACAAGCTCAGTGTCCCTGATGGCATGCAAGGTTCCAGCACGAGCTGTTTCCGTCAATACTTCGAGCTCTCCCACACTCTCGCCTTGACCAAACTCAGCACGAGCACTAATCACACCTCCCTTCTTTTGTTCGACGAGCCGCAGTCGACCGTTAAGAACAACGTAGATAGCATCGCTCTCATCGTTGTTGTGGTATATGACTTGCCCTGCGTTGACCTGAACCCATTCCAGAGCAAAGTCAATGTGCAAGATCAGTCTGGGGAGAATATTGGTCAACCTCTTGGCCATCGTGAGTAGAATGATGGGATATTTGTCCACGATGCGTTCCAGAGAAGCACGAGGTAAGAACCCGACGTAGACGTCAGTTTTAGCAACCACATCAATGAAAGATCTGTACGAAGAGACGCTCCCGATATACCCAGCTAAACCACCCGGCTTGACCAAAGCCACGCTTCTGCGATGTGTTCCGGAGTGTTTCTGAAACTCATCCTTCTCGCGGGCAGTTTCAGTCCGAGCCAGGGTTGGGAACGATTCCAGTATCGATGGCTCATCATCATGATCAACACCCACAAAATCGGATTCTGACGCAGGAAAGAGATTGTGAGGATCGCTCGTGCTCGTTGTACCAATGTCAAGAAATCCATCGACAACATAGTAGAGACCGGGATTGCGCTCGCCTTGTTCCACAAGAACAGAGCCCTTTGGAAAGAAGACAATCTCAACTTCGTGTTTCATGTCATGGGACAAACTCTGAGGACTGGGCGGTGAGTTCATCGCTATGCCACTAGAGGTAACGGATTCCGAGTCACCGTCGCCAGGACCATCAAAAGGACCCATGATGCCAAAGGCATTGTTTGAAAACAGTGCCCTGGTACGCTTTGTATCCATAGCTACCAATCTTGGTGATGCCTCTATAGACTCGGATTCATGAGAAAAAGGGCCGCCGTTGTGTAGGCCAAGAGCCTTGAACATGCACTCTAATATCGATGCTCTAAACAGGTTGTCCTCATCCAGCGATTCGCGAGGATCCATGTTGATACGGCCCTTTTGAGGATTGAATGGGTTGTAGGTGCGTTGCGACAACGGGTTCCCATCGTCTTTTCTACTGCCGTCTATCAATGGACTACCTCGTAGATCAGAGAAAGAGCTCTTGTTGAACCCCCGGGCTACTTGGATGCTACCCAGCAGATCACCAGGCCTTGGGGTTGGTGGGGCAGCCCATCTATGCTTATCCGTCATAGGAGATGCAGAACTCATGTTCATAGAGTGCAGCATTGCCTCTTTGCGGAGAGCGCCGCTACTAGACCGCCGACGGCGAGGCGTTACTGGATTGTGGAGCGCAATCCCTTTTGCTCGATCATCGTCATTGCTCTTCTCGCGCTCTTGGCTGAATTTTTCCTTCAGCCTCGAGAGAGCATCACCTCGAAGAACATTGGGGAGCTGGCAAACAGTATGCTTAATCATGTTCTTTTCAGTCTGCAACACCTCGCCAGTCAAACCCAAGTAGTTGAATGCATGAGACAATGTTACTCTTTGGAAGCGGGAAAGAATAACATGAACAATGTGCGACGTCGCCTTTGGGTAGACTTTAATCAATCGACGGAAGGCGCTTGCTGGGATGATGGCAATAGTTGTGTCGACTGTGGCTCGCGCAATGATATCAGGGTGAGCTGAACCGGAAGTTGTTTTGTGAAACAACCTCGGGCGGTTTGGGGGTGTAGCCCCGTCCAAGGACATATGCGGAATTCTCGACGAGTTGGGGTCTGGTGTAGTCCGGTGCCTCATCTCGTGATCCGGAGGGGGGCCTTGACTTCCTGTTCCAGATCCAAGCTTGGGGCTGGTAGGCATTGAGGAAGAAACGTCTGGAGATCCCTGCATGCTAAATGACTTGTGGAAACTGAGGTTCCTTCTGCTATGGCGCCGGGATGATGGATGCGATTGCTCATCAACGTGATCCAGTTTGACATCCTCGGTGAAGAGCGACATAATGGAAAACAATGACGACATGGGCGCACCATTTCGCACCTCTGTCAAAAGCTGATATCTTTGGTGCCCTGGATTCATATCATCGTCATCGTAACCATCGCCATGGTCGGCAGCATTGGCCCTTGGATCCAAGCCCGATTTGACAAAAATTTGAACCAGCCCATCAACAACAATGCAGAAGCCTTTCTCTTCCTCAAGGTTGATGGTCTCGCCAGCTATAAGTTTTCGAGTCTGCATGCTCCGGGTGAGCTCATGGAAGACAGGGCGCTCGAGATAACCAAAGATCTTGATTGCGCTCAAAAACTCATCCAAATAGCTCGAGAGGCCCGACTTGATCCCTTCGTCATGAGTATCCGGGAACAGGTCGATGTCGGGCTCTTTGCGTTGGGGCTCTGGTGGCAGTCGCGAGTACATGTTGAGGATGCGGTATCGCACAACCCAGCTCACCGCGGAAACGATGCCCGCCAGAATGAACATCCTGAACTCATTGTCAGTGAGCTACCTTCTGATTCGGGTGGACCGACATACAGAGTGGTTGCATTCATGGTGACGGTCCAGCTTGTGGAAAACAAGGTGAAAAGGATGGTGGGCACGCTAATCGTGACAATCCGAATGACCCAGTACAAAACAGTGGTGATCAGGTTCAGAAGCGACAGAATAAGCCGCCCAAATAAGCCCAGCCAACTGGTGGACTCTTGGGCGGCTGTCTGGTTTGAGAGGGCGCTCATGCTGGGCGAGGCCAAAGCGTGGGAGACGCTGCTGGAGAGAGAGGCTGCCATCTGTGTGGCATTTCCTGATGCCATGGCCACTCCAGTGAACGACGGAGCATTATGCACAAAAAGAGCGACGAAGCTCGAGGGCTTCCGAGGACTTTGGTTTTTTTCCTTGTGGTGGAAGAAGAAGCGGGACCTTTAAATCAAGCTATTTGAGGTTGAGAAGCTGACTTATTTACCGAGGTGTCGCCGCTGGCCAATCATGCACCGATATTAATCGTGTCTCACCGTTGGGTCCCACCGAGACATGCGGTAGAGATAGCAGATGATCAAGGATTCAAGGTCACGCAGCCTCGGTATAATCGGCAGGTCATATGCTAGGAACAAGTCTATTCCTCGATGTAGCTAAGGTGCCAGTTTGCATAGCGTTTTGTGCGAGCTCTAGTATAAAGCGATGATAGAATAGGCTTCTATGGCTTTTCTCCTTTGGTTAAAGGTCATGACGCAGAAGCTAGAGAAGGCTCAGGGCTGGGCGTGAAGGTGGTAGATAGCGGACAGCTTTGTCAGCGATAGCGACAGATAACCCCACCATGAACAAGAGAACGAACATGAAAGAAATGCTAACTTTCTGACTGCTTGCTCTCCTCGTGCTGTATCTTCACCCCATAATTTCACTCTTGCCTCTGTCCCATCAGATGCTTGATCTCTCTGTCATGCGCCCCTGAGAAGCTTTTGCCTGTAGGCGACTTCACTCCAACCAGATTCGATGCCGTTTGCACAACTCGTCGTTGGCAGCCCTGGCTCTGGCAAGAGTACCTATTGCGATGGCAGTAAGTTCAAGAGCTTCCAGATTTTGAAACCAGTCGCTAAATAGCCTTCTCTTCACATAGTGCACCAGTTCATGGGTGCCATCGGGCGCGCATGTTCCGTCGTGAACCTCGACCCAGCAAACGATCATACCAACTACCCCGTGGCACTCGATATTCGGTCGCTCATCAAGCTCGAGGACATCATGCGAGAAGATAAGCTTGGACCGAATGGAGGAATCCTATACGCTCTCGAGGAACTGGAACATAACTACGAATGGCTTGAGGAAGGCCTAAAAGAGTTTGGAGAAGACTACATTCTTTTTGACTGTCCTGGTCAGGTGGAACTATACACACATCATAATTCTTTGAGGAATATCTTCTATAAGCTCCAGAAGAATGGTTTCAGAGTTCGTTGCCCCCCTCGCCGTGGCTGAACGTGCATACTTGAGATCAATTGCTAACCGCAGCACTTTAGTTTGTGAGCGTCCACCTATCAGACTCCATCTGCCTCACACAGCCCTCGCTCTACGTTTCGAACGTCCTACTCTCCCTCCGAGCCATGATCCAAATGGACATGCCCCATGTCAACGTGTTGTCCAAGATCGACAAGGTCCACGCATATGACGAGCTACCCTTCAATCTCGACTACTACACCGACGTCGAAGACCTAGGCTATCTTACACCGTACTTGGAAGCCGAGTCTCCTGCTCTGCGCAGTGAGAAATTTGGCCGCCTCAACGAAGCTATCGCCAACCTGATCGAGAGCTATGGTCTGGTACGATACGAAGTCCTGGCCGTAGAGAATAAGAAGAGCATGATGCATCTCCTCCGCGTGATTGACCGCGCGGGCGGCTATGTATTTGGCGGCGCAGAGGGGGCCAATGACACGATCTGGGCCGTGTCCATGAGGAACGAGTCGTCCATGATGGGGGCGGAGGACATTCAGGAACGCTGGATTGATAACAAGGAGGACTATGACCGCATGGAGGATGAGGCCGAGGATGAGCAAGAAAAGATACGGCAGCAGCAGGCCATGGAAATCGAGCAATCTCAGCCAGCGGCTCCCAGCAGCGCTGGGATGGATCCTGATTTCGGAGACATGGCGGTGCCTCCAGATAGCGGGATCAAGGTAGTTAGAAAGAACAAATGATACCCCCTTTCTCTCAGTCATCGGCGTCGTGCATCGACTCGTCATCCGAATCACCCATAGCGTCAAGAATTACATCTGGCCGACTTGATTCTGTAGGTGCCAGTGAGGAAGGTATTTGTGAGGAAGCTTCTTTGGCCTCAATGAGTCGTTGTTTGGCCTGGCGGATGGCTTCTTCCTCCGCCTTGCGAATGGTGCCGCTGACACGTACAACGCGAAAAATGCAAGGTCTCCCACTCCCGTCCTTGGTTGGAACGCGATCCATAAAGGTCAAGGCTGACCACAGCATTTGATAGTGGTCTCTAGAGCATCTTATGATGGCTGTAGAAGTAGCAAGAGAAAAGTATTTAACTATGATATCGGGTAAGCTTAAAAACAAAAGAGCCCAGGGCGCCTGGAGGAATGTGTCCCCCTACCTGACAGATCGCTCTCGAGACACCCTGCACCATAGTCTCCAAATAATGAAGCGACTTGTGATTTGAGAGCCCTGACGAGTATGCCTGGAGTGAGATTCTCAGTGGTTGGTTGGTGCTGGACGACAAGATTTGGCGTGGTCGATTTGCCAACGCGAGAACCCTCGGCGGGGGGGTAAATGATGTTGACCAGAAGGTAACGCTCCTTCACTCGGACCATGATGACTCGTAATTATGTGTGTGAGTGTGTATAATCGCGTATGTGAAATCCTGAGATTGGAGAGATGGAAAAGAAATATTTATTCCAGTAGCTTGCCCGATACAGGTCGCTGTGGGGCCTACCAACTATAGACCTCGATCATCTACAGGTTATTCCAATCCGCCTCAGGTTGGTGCTGGATAAACCTTCTTCTGGCATCAATCCAAAATCATGGACGGGCCACTGAAGGTCGCAATTCTCATCGTTTCGACGACTGCGGCAGAAGATCCTTCAACGGACTCGTCGGCCCAAGCTCTGCAGGGAGTGATTGATGGCCAAGGACCTGGGAAATGGAGCGTTGACAATACTTCTATTGTCACTGATGACGTTTCTACTATCCAGCGCCGACTCATGGCTCTGGCCGACGGGCCAGAAGCAGCAAATCTCATCATCACCACCGGCGGGACAGGTTTCTCTGTAGCAGATGTCACTCCAGAAGTAAATGGCTTCCTTTTCCCTAGCCTGGCCTCTTATTTAATGTGACTATTCGTTTGAATCGGGCTCTAACATGACCTACATAGGCTGTGACCCCGCTGCTTCACAAGCAAGCTCCAGGCCTTGTCCATGCCATGGTGTCCGCATCTCTGGCAGTCACACCTTGTAAGTCTTCAACGTGAACCGCCCATCAACTACCTAGTATTCACTCGGGATGCTGAACGCCTTCTCCTCACTCAGTCGCGATGATGTCCAGACCTGTCGCTGGAGTCAGGAATAAGTCCGTAATCATCACACTGCCAGGCTCCCCGAAAGGAGCCAAGGAAAATCTGGAAGCGGTAATCAAGACTCTTCCTCATGCTTGCATGCAAGCGGCTGGCGCCAACTCTCGTGCCTTGCACGCTGGAGGTGTGAAAAAGCTCGAGGCGGACGCTGGCCTGGCTGGGGCAAAGCCAGGCCACCACCATCATCATGGCCATGGCCACAGTCATGACCACAGTCACAGCCACGGCCATGGACACGGCGGCCTTGTCAGACACACAAAGCCTGACCAAAACCTTCTATCTAACGACCCGAGCCTGGGTCCCACTCGACGGCACCGCGAGTCCCCATATCCAATGTTTTCTGTGGCCGATGCTCTCGCTAGAATATCACAAGAATCACCCGATCCCGAAATTCTGACCCTCAAAGTGGATGAGAAGATTGTAGGGTCCGTCTTGGCCGAAGATGTCAAGGCCCGAGAGAACGTCCCTGCTTTCAGGGCCAGCATTGTAGATGGATATGCTGTTGTCGTCCCCGAGGATGGAGTGCTCCATGGGACATTCCCCGTAGTGTCAGTTTCCCACGCAAGCCCTGGCGAAGTCAAGCCCCTGAAAGCTGGGGAACTTGCCAGGATAACTACGGGCGCACCGCTACCTCCGGGGGCTACATCTGTCATAATGGTAGAGGACACAATCCTGAAAACCATGACTGATGATGGGAAGGAGGAGAAAGAAGTGGAAATCAACATCGAAGGCGTCAAGAACGGCGAGAATATCCGTGAAATTGGCAGCGACATTGAACAAGGCTCCGTTATTCTCCAAAAGGGGGAGCAGATATCGGGAGTGGGTGGTGAGATAGGCCTCCTCGCTGCCGTGGGAGTTGTGGAGATCAAAGTCTTCAAGAAGCCTGTAATCGGTATTCTTTCTACCGGGGACGAGATCATCGAGTACAACCGCCCCGAAGAACTTAGATTGGGGGAAGTCCGAGATACTAACCGGATTACTCTCATATCTGCAGCAAAAGAATGGGGTTTCGAGGTCGTTGACTTGGGTATCGCGAAAGATCAATCGGGAACGCTCGAGGAGACTCTTCGGGATGGTCTTCGGAGAGCTGATGTGCTCATCACTACGGGCGGAGTTTCCATGGGGGAGCTTGACCTGCTCAAGCCAACAATTGAGCGAGCTCTTGGGGGCTCTATTCACTTTGGTCGTGTAGCCATGAAGCCCGGCAAGCCCACAACTTTTGCCTCGGTGCCAGTCAAAACCAACGCTGGCGATCGTGTCTCTAAAGTCATATTCTCTCTTCCTGGAAACCCGGCCTCAGCTCTGGTAACGTTTCATCTTTTCGTTCTTCCCTCCTTACACAAACAGTCGGGCGTTTCCCCTGCCGGCCTACCCAAAGTTCCCGTCGTTCTCGCTCACGATTTCCCACTCGATTCCCGACCGGAATACCATCGTGCTATTGTAACGGTTGGGGGCAATGGTCTTCTATCTGCCAGTAGTACTGGTGGTCAGCGAAGTTCCAAGGTCGGCAGCCTCAGGTCTGCAAATGCGTTGATATGTCTGCCAGGTGGGAAAGGAAAATTGGAAAAGGGCGCAACCGTCGACGCTTTGCTTATGAACTCAATTCGCTTGGGTTAAATTGGAAAGTGAACTAGATGAGAATCTAATGAACAACATATTGACGCGATTCAAATCATCTAGTCTAAGCACAAAGAAGGTCCAGGATACAGATTCTTCCCAACTGATACAATTTGAATACCATGGTATGATATTTTAAGCTGCAAAACACACTTTCTTTCTTCTGATGATGTACACGTCGATTTCCGAGAATTGACGACAATACAGCCTGCGGTAGTAAGAAATACCCTAAGCCAAGCCTATCCCCTAAACGCCTGTCCAAATACTCATTGGCGCGATGCAAAAGCCTTCTCGCGCAGGAAAGGCGCGAGTAGTATCTATCTTGTCCCGTGGTAATCGGGATATTGTCTTGAAGGTGGATGAGGGGTTCGATTATTTGCCGAATCCTGTAGTCTTACCTGAGACGAGAAGACCGATGATTAGTCCAAACAGACCCAGGATGGAGGAGAAAATCTCAATGACGAGGATCTTGACAAAGCTATTCGAGTAATTGCAGCGTTAGCATTGGAGACGAGGACTTATTCGGTGAGTTGCTGCTACGTACAGAGACGGGTCAGCAGCATCTGCGAGTGCTGCGCCGCTGCCATTGATACCAACAGCGACACCGCAAATCAGGTTGCAAAGACCGACGGTGATTCCAGACCAAAACAGAGCAAAACCAGTATAGTATGAGTCGGCTTCGTAAAGCGCAGCGCCGGTCGCGCTGTTAACCTGGGCGGAAAAGACAATGGCCATGATGACACCGTAGATGGCGACGACTTCGCAGAAGATGATGGAAATCAAGTTCTTGGTTCGGATACGAGGGGCTTTGACACCACCACCGAGAATGGACGATCCGGTGATGAAAATTCCCCTAAGGACGTCTGTCAGCAGGGGATGCGGAAGGTTTCGATGGGATCGCGGGCAATGATGCTCACCATGCGGCTCCAACAACCGAGAAGCCAATACACAGGGCGATACCCATGCTAGCCCAGGTATAGGGCGATACCGACTCCAAAAACGCGCCGACATTGAAATCCTCGCCGCTGCCAGTGAAGAGCATATCTGTGACGTTGTGTTAACTTGGTGCTGTCCTTCCCGTCATCCTCTCCATCCCTGAGCGCGGTCTTTCGATGGGGACGTACAAGCTCCAACAATGGTCACAAAGGACCCGAGGCCGCCGACTCCGTATGTGAGGCTCATTTTGACGAATGTGACGGTGCTGACTCGATTCGGATGCTTCGTGGGTAGTGGGTTGAGGAAGCTATTCGTAGCTCCTTGGGTGGGCGCAACAATCGATTGAGCAACTCTGTCTGACCTTCCTTCAAGCTGCTACCTAAACTTAGCGACGTAGTTCAGTTGGGGTACGTACTAATTACGGCTCTTCCGCTGCACCACTGAGCGACGTCACATGACAGCGCGCTAAGACGCAGGCACGCACCTTTGTCCGCCTAAGGCTGTGCACTGTGGCTTGATAGGCTAAGCCAAGAGTGGAGTTGCCTGATTACCTAAGTCACTGGCCAAGGCTGCCTTCTTCCTTTCTCGGAAGTATAAATTGGATTCTCATCTTGCCTCCTACATATCACTCCCCACGAGCATCCCGTTTTTGCTCTCCTACGGTACCGAAAATCACTGCAGACGTGAAAGGACCTTGCAGGCAAATATGGCGACGGGCGGACAATCATTTTACGAGCTGTACCGCCGGAGCAGGTACTGCTTCTCCTCTTACTGCCATTGCTAAGCGCTGTGCTACTGTCATGATGCCTTGCGTTGACTAACCACTGCTCCCCCCTCGCACAGCATCGGTCTTGCTCTGACGGACACGCTCGACGACCTCATCAGTGATGAGCGCATCAACCCCCAGTTGGCGATGAAGATCCTGAGCAACTTTGACCAGGCCATCACCGAGGCGCTCCAGAAGAACGTCAAGTGCCGGTTGTCATTCAAGGTGGGACGCTACCCCCCCGGTGTTGTTGGCAGCACATGGAGCTTGCGCGGCCAAGGGCTAACGATGTTTTTTTCGCAATTACAGGGAAGCCTTGACACCTACCGGTTCTGCGACGAAGTTTGGACCTTTTTGATCAAGAACGTGACCTTCAAGATGGACAACGGTACTCCGCCTGTAGTCGCCGACAAGGTGAAGATAGTGAGCTGCAACGCCAAGAAGCCTGGCGAGGGCCCTTGAATACTGCAAATGACGTTACTGGGAAGTGTTTTTTTCGAGACGACGATTTTCTTCTTTCCTTCTTTTTTCCCCATATATGAGACGGGTTTAAGCCAGAGCCCGATTGCATGATTAAAGGCGTTTTGGTTTTGGGTTCGCAGTTCAATGCGCTGGGACAATGAAACACACACACATCTACACCGTCTGGGATTATGCGGACAGAGATTAGTTACTATCAAAGACTGGAAAGAAATATACCTGATAGTTTTTACGTTGTTATATGCTTTTGCTTGCTTGCTGTGAGTTCCCGTGCAAATTTAAGGTTATCGCCTCATCCTTCCCGAAGCACCTACCTAAAATTGGTACTCAAGACAAAGCCTAATTCCTTTTTACCTACATATTGCATGTCACCATCACCATTTCCTAAACACACCATTCAATCGCCCGCAACACACCACATTGCTCGCTCATTTACACGTGGGCGAGATCGACGTTATCGCCTGCCAATACAGGGGTCTGTCCACGTAACTCAGCCACCTCCCACTGACTCGGCTTGGCTCTTGGTCTCCATTAATCAGTCCCACCCGCCCAGTCCTCCCACATGACACAGGGGATGGCAACCGCCAGGGAATCAGAAGCCATGCTTCGTCAACGTCGTCCTCGGCCATCTAAGGATCAGGCCAATCCTCTTCCTACCGAAATGGCCAGATCAGACAACCTGACGGGCGGCGGCATCGCTTCCTGGAGCGTGCGCAGCCAGTGGATGTTCTTTGCCGTTGCCAGTGGTGCCTGTGCCGCCTTCAACGGTGTATTTGCCAAGCTGTATGCTCTCACTCATCCTCATGGGCGTTGATTCGCCTTCTGCTTCCCTCCCTGTGTTGTGAAAATCTAAGAAAATGTTCGATCTGGGTTCTCGTGGGCCATCTTGTGCTGATGAATATTTGATGATAGAACAACAACCGAGCTGACGACGAAGCTGTCAAATGCAATCGCCAGCGGGCTTGGCCTCTCCTCAGCAGAGAGAATCGTAGAGATTGTCGTCCGAGGAGTCAGTAAACCCAAGTGTTCCCCAAGCCAAAGCGCTGCCATGAGGAAAACATTCCCTTGCTCACCAAATCAATCTCAGATATTCTTCGCACTTAACCTGACCTTCAACGGCGTCGTAAGTGTTCCTCCACCATCGTCATTCCCCCTCCAAGTGTATGGCATCTCACAATCTCCCCAGATGTGGTCTCTCTTCACCACCGCCTTGGCTCGAGGCACATCAACCACGCAAGTGTCCATCATGAACACCTCCACCAACTTCATGCTCACTGCCTTCCTCGGCCTCATCATCTTCTCAGAGTCATTGCCGCCAATGTGGTGGGCAGGCGCAGCTCTGCTCGTGGCCGGGAATGTCATCATCGGCCGCAAAGACGAGACAAAGGATGCAGATGGCGCCGCGGAAAATGAAATCCTAGTCCAGCAGGAAGAGGGTCAATCGGAACATGAGGAGGACGCCGCGCCTCCCGGTATCTACAAAGATGAGGCTGTAGATGAAGATATCGTTGACTTGGGTGACATGAACAACCAAGGCAGGTCGTGAGTAGATTGTGTCTCAATGCGGGTTTTAGAGATGAATGCACGAAAACCTTATTTTAGCCAATAGAGTTTGGCGATGCGTGGCGTGTCACTGCCCGTGCATCACAAAGTACCTCGCTGTATATACGCCCAAGGATATAGTTTCACGCCGGTCAGTAGCATAGATTGCAAGAATATATAAGGATTTGACCCAACATGTATTTTACAATCCCTGGTAAAAACAAACAAGATCCACGAGCTGTGTGGACGATCTAATGTGTACTAAATTGCTTCGTTAACGACGGGGTTCCATCTCCAATCCTTCGTCTATCTCATCCTCATCTCCGTCAAGAATATGTGAGTTCCGTACAGGGCGCGAGCCCTGCCAGTCTCCGGCTAGCTTAACCCTCCCTCCCGACATGTTCTCGACCTTCTCCGATACCCAATAGCCGACGCGTTTGAACAAGACCCATAACTGTTCCTGGCTCTCGAGGATGTGGTGATCTTCCTTAGGATTCTCCGCCGCCTCGGCTTGGAACTGATACTTGAGGCAATCCTTCACCGTGACCAGGCCTGTTAGCTTGCCATGGTACTCGATGAGGATGACACGGGGGCCGATCTTGCGGAACAGCTCCATCACTGTTTCCAATGGCAAACGAGGATGGACTGTGACCGGCGTAGCATCGATGTATCGGCTAAATTCAAGAGTCGTCGACATCGACTCGACATTAACCGTCACCGTAGATACAAGAGGCACGCCCAAGTTCTCGGGCGGTGGTGTAAACACGCATTTCGCGTCAGGGCTAATTGTTCTCTCACGCCGAACCTTGTCAATTGCATAGCGAAGTTCGGTGCGCCCAATGAACCCGACAAGGATGCGTGATTCCCTGTTCTCGACAATGGGAAAGCCCTGGTAGGTTTCATCGCCAAGTATTTGCTCGACTTCACGGACGGTCAATCCGTGAACCGGCAGCGACACGACCTCCGTCCGCATGGCCTGTGACACGGGCACACCAAAGTTGTGTTCCTCCTTGTTGTCTAAAAAGGGGAACCCGCTGAACCAGATCATCCGGTCTGCGATGCCTCCCTTGCCAAACATTTCTCCAACAATCTTTGTGACGCCGACAACGATCATTGTGGGCAAAATGTAGGTGAGGGCACCGGTCAGCTCGAACATGATGACAACCACAGTCACTGTGATGTGCATGATACCACTCAGAGCTGCAGCGGCCCCCAGAAATGCATATGTCCCTGGCGTGATGCAAGGCTCGTCAGGTTTACACGCTGCGAAAAACGCGCTTGTTGGATGGGCTTCATGAATGGCCTGGACGATGATTCCGACAAGACGGCCAAAAGATGCGCCAACGGCCATGGAGGGCACGAAGATTCCCGCGGGCACCTTGCATCCATAGCAGATGATGATGAGGAAAACTCGAATCACCGTGGCCAAAACTAAGAGCACGATGTTTTTGAGTCGCTTGTCAGCGTCGCAAAGGCCAGCATAGTCCTTGGTACCTTCACACTCCAAGAACAAGATTTCCATGCCCTCGGTCATGTCGATCCGAAGGAAAGCGTTTGGATACGCAATAATTGCCGTGCCCAAAGTAAGCAACGTCGCCTCACCCACAGCAAATTCCTTCAGATATTTCTTTCGGAAAGACTGGACACGGAGATTCCATTTCATGACGAAGGCTCCGTATAATCCGCCAAATATCCCGAGAACGACATAAAAGACTATCTCAAAGAAGTGCCAGTCTCGATCGTATTGGACTTGGAACATGACCAGTTGACCGGTGCGGAAGGGGTTCATAGTTGATAGAGCTGCCGTCGCGACCAGAGCACAAAAATAGCTTCGCCACATGGTTTTGAGGGGGAAATAGCTGGACATCTCTTCGAGAGAGAACAACACACCTCCGATAGGGCTACCAAAAGCAACGGCAACGCCGGCGGCAGCACTTGCGCTCAGGATCTCCCGAGTCTTGGATGCATTGCTACGATATTTCCTAAAGAGACGGGAGATGACGTTTCCTGTGCATACAGCATAGTGCACAGTTGGGCCCTCCTTGCCGACGGACAGGCCAGAGGCAATGGCCAGGGGCAAGCAGATGGACTTGATGATGAGCGTCCAACCTCCTAGGAATCCCTTCATGACAAACCCAGCAATGATACATTTGATCTCGGATATACCAGAGCCTGCGGCGTACGGCGCATAGTATTTGACCAGCACAGAGGCAACATAAGCGAAAAGAGTCTATGTCGGGAGCAATTAGTTCATGCGTCCTGATCGGTTTATAATCGAGATCCTTACTCCGAAGATCACATAGATGAAGTAGTTGAAAGGCGCGAAACCAGTCCAGTGCTTCCACTCTTCGCATCCTAGGAAAGTCAGCCATCAGCGACATTCACCAACGGATGAGGCTATCCAAACTCACCGTTTTCCTCGCCCCAGCAACAGAAGTTCTCGTTGAGATAGAAGGCAGTGGAGCAGTATCCCAACTTGATGTCGGACAGCCACTCTGTAATGATACTCAAGAGGGCTGCATTAAAACCAATCGCTATTCCAACCAAGGTGACGACGACCCAACCTTGTGCTGCGTCGTAGAGCTCCCACAACTTATACCTCCATCCCACCGAGCCTCGCGCTCGGAGTCCCGCACTTTGTCTCTGGCGCACTTTTCGTCGGGCTTGTTCTCTCGCTGCATCCTGTACCCAATCTTTCCCATTGCAGTTAGTACCTCATGCGATGATTGCGTGCGATGACTTCGTTTGTCGATGCATACCTATTGTCGAGAAGTCCTAGCTCTCTGTCAGTAACCTAATCAAAGTACAGTAACTGGTCGTTCCGCAAGGAAGCGCCAATGATGACCACCTACCTCATACCGCTTGATCTCTGCAATCTCCTCCTCTACATGTGTTTCGGCCGGTCTGTGACCCTCTTCAGGTTCTCCCGATTCGGCGCGATTCACAGCGGACGAGAGACGGTGGCTGAAGGAGGGCCGGCTGTCCAAGTAGGCCCTGGCTGAGAGGGGCGCTGATTGGGAAGTCATGATGCTGGCCGGCAGATCATGATCGCAATGCCTGCAATATCGGATACTCGGGTTTCGCGGGTTCAATCGATTAGCGGCGGGCTGCTCCTCGTTGCTGTTGAGTTTGGAGCTTATGAAAGCTGTCCAGCCGTAAATAGATTATCCTACCATGGTAATCGATTGTGCCAGATCTGTGGCGCAACACTGCGTCAGTTCCCTCTGGAGGCCCCATACCGTATGCAGCGCTGAGCTCAGCCACACCATCTTCCACAGCGCTTCTCAGACGCGTTAAGTAGGTAGCACGCCTATAGACCTCAACATCATATATTTTATAAGGCGGCAATTCTCGCCCCAGCTTAAGTCTCGAGGACCCCCTACGCGTCGAATTCATCCCAACGAAAGGCTTGGTATATAAAGCACTTTTGCAATTAAAATACAACTCGCCTGAGAAAGCTCCTCCAAAATGCCTTACAACACAACTGCCATCCCTCCCAAAAAAGAGCCCACTGGGCAAACTCAGCTGCCTCGTGAGTAACCTAGACGTTCACCACAGCGGCAGACATGTGTTTAACTATTATCCTTCATAGTATCAAGAGTCAAAAAAATCATTTCACAAGACTCTGATATTAACATGTGCTCCAACAATGCCGCCTTCATCATCACCTGCGCTGCTGCAAGTTTCTTCCCCATGTCCATCTCACTCCCTAGGGGACTCACATTGCTAACCTGCAATTGCAGGAAATGTTCATCCAGCACCTTGCGGATGAGTCGCATACACAGGCAAAACTGGAGCGTAAACCCCGGCGAAACATCCAGTATAAGGATGTTGGTACGTGCTGGCCCCAAACCTCACCTACCAAATCCCCAAGTGCTAACAGCCCACAAAGCCAACGCAGTAGCACGTCAGGACCACCTCGAGTTTCTCGAGGACGTTGTTCCAAAGACCGTGCCATACAAGGCAGTGAAAGCAGCAGCCAGTGAAACCCAGGCTCGTCTGCGTGGTGAAACCAAGACTGATGAGAGCCAGGCAGCCGCCTCTAGCCAGTCCCCGGTCGCCACCACAAACGGCAATGGCCCCAATGGAAAGACGGGGACACCTTCGGCCGCCAAGGCTGGTAACAATGCTGATGGGAACCCAAGCGACCAGCTGGAGCTAGAGATGAGGCAAGCGCATGGGTCAAAACATGACGCGGACGTTCAAATGACTGGATAGGATGGTCATGGGACCTTCGTCATCAACTTGCAGCGTAATACTTCAAAGGGGGCATGAGAATATTGCACAGGCGTTAAATTTTTCTTCATTATTCACCAACTAAATCCACTGTCACAACTGGCCGACTCCATTTCCAGTGTCTAGACCAAAAGGAGACCCCCCGTGTATCAAAGTGGTTATGTACTCTGAAAAGCCAATGCAAAAACAATCATGTCCTAAAGAACCGTAAACCAAGTCCCTCATACTTGTTCCGCCCCTTATACCGTATTGGAAAATGTGATGACATAAAACTCCGAGGCTCCCTAATCTATTCCTCCATAGCATCGGCCTGAATACCCGAGGGCAGCCTTCCCTCGTTGAGCTCCTTCGAAAGAGCGGTGATCTCTTCCAAGGTTGTGGCGTTCCGAATCTTCTCCTGAAGTCTCTTCTTCTCTGCGTCCGTGAGCTTCATCCTTGACAGTTTCGATGGCGCCGCCGATCCGTTCACCGAAATGGCCGTCGCGGTAGACTTTTGGCCCATGATCTGTGCAGCAACCATATGTCAGAACTGACACCAAAAAGGGATAGAGACTGTGGGAATATACCTCGACTGCTAGTGGTGTCGGCTCCTCTAGAGTTCCAAAGAGCTCGGTCCCCCTCTCTCGCTCAGCTTGCTTTACCTTGACATAATCAAGGAACCGTACAGTAGGGCACAGCCAAAGAACCCAGTATCGATAATTCTTCAACGCGTAAGGTTAGACAAAAAATTGAAAATAGTACGGCATAGGAACTCCGTCCTCGGTAATGAATAGCGCACTCACCTCCTTCTTCGCAACGGGGTTATCCGCAAGAACTAGATGCGTCAAGTGCGAAAACTTGCCCAGAGGATCCAGGTCCGCGAGTTCTGTCAAGTTGTTCGACGATAAAACGAGATTCTTCAGGTTCGGTATGGATGTGGCCAGCGTGTTCTGGATAGTCACCACTCGGTTGCGTGCCAGCAGAAGAGTCGAGATACGCGGCGAGAGTGGGAAGTTCCCCAGCACTTGGATATCATTATCGGTGAAATCGATCGCGTCGTGAGCCTAGCCAAAAGTCGAAGTCAGCAAGATAACCTAGGGTGAATTGGCCCGATCCCAGGTCCGGTTTGCCACTCGAAGGCTGGGGGAATACTCACGCCGGCGACACCCAGATTCTCGATGGCGGGAATTCGGTGTCCTGTTAACGTTCAAAAGACGAATTTGGATCAACTCTGCTCTGCACAAGATCAAATAGTGTAGCATCTGCTCTTTTCAAACGCACCTCGGAGATCGAGCTCTCGCTCTTTCAGTGGGTTGAGGTAGGAAAGGGAGTCCCGAATAAGGTCTGTCGTGAGCCTCATCTTGGGATGTCGTTACCTCGATCGCTACACGTGGGCACGCGACGCCTCGCTTTGGGTTGATTGACGGGTCTCGATGGGAATTCTAGGGTTCGCGATTCGGTCAGGTATCAATACTGCCTTGGTTCACTGATATAGATCTGAATGAATACTCGGGCTTGGCTGTTTCTTCCACAATGAATTGCATCCTCAAACCGGAAAGCTTCAAGCTTCTGGGATCTGAGAATTTTTGTGGGGCGATCATGCGCCACTCGCTGCTTTGTGCGCCACACTTCGAGAGGTCCTCGTTTAGATAGGACCTCGACTCAACGAACAAATTGTGTTTACGAGCAAACTCAGGAGTTATTTTGTTTATTATTTCTAAGTTCAGAAACCCGCTAACCATAAAACATTTGCTCCACGTTTTCTCAACTCAGAGAGGAATAACAACCTAGGTAGCAATAGCTGCAGGATCTCTATTATTCAAATCTATCCGATCACTCCAAATATCTATTGAAAGACAAACACAACTCCAGATCGATCAACCGAGACACTCATTGTATAAGGGTATTCCAAAACAACCACATCCAGGATCAGATCCAGATGCGACTGCAAGAGTTGTTGCTGCTGAGAAGATATGACCGTTGACCTAGGCGGTCGTCCGGCCGTCGACGGTTTGTGATTCTTCGAGGAATTCGGAGCAGCCGACGAGTTTCTGGAAAACCGCTCCGTAGTGACGGTCACCCCTGGCACGGGATTCGTCGTTGTGTATGTCGGCTTCGGCTCATCTTGACTGAGCCCGCTGTATATGCAAGAACTCTCCAGACGAGGGATGTTCCAAAACCTGAGTCGTCTATCAGAGCCACCGGTAACGATGTAGGCATGGCGTATATCCCTCGAGTCCTCGCTTGCGCCAACACCCACAACCATTGTCCGAACTCCTTTGTCGGAGTTGGTGACCTCGTTGCTCTCAATACTCGTAGCGAATCGCCTCAGCATACCTTCGGATTTGTCGTCATCGACATCCCAGGCCTCATACACTGCTGGTCCGTCCTTGCTACTGCTACCGGTACGGTAGACTTCTCTGCATGTTGTGCGCTCCAGATCCCAGACAGTAACCTCGCCTTGTCCGGTGCCTCCAGACACACAAACCCACTTCCCTCGGCCTTTGGTTGGGTGAATAGACATTCGGTAGATGGGTCCTTTCCCTGGAACCCCCCACGCCCTGAGCCGCATTCTAAACCGCAGATCCCATAGGGAAACAACACCATGAGTAGTTCCTAAGCAAAGCCAATTCCGTTTCTTATCCACGCAGAAGCAAGTTGGCGTCCCATGATGAACGGGATTCTCGAGAACATATAGAAGTGACATGGTTCGAAGATCCAGACCTAGAATTCTCGATCGATTCGTCGCAAGGAGCAGAGTCGAGTTCGAATCCTGTCTAAAGTGCTCACACCATGTGACATATTCTTCGCTGGGGAGTCGGTACTCCCGTAGCATTCGTAGTTTTCCATACCTAAGGACACCACCTGCGGGTACCGTATCAACCTTCACCACGTGAACGGCTCCATCGGAAGCACAACTGACAAAACAGTGCGTGTTTTCAATAAAACACAAAGCTACAATACGTGCGCCTTCTGCGTGTTTGTACGTCTGGCGAGAGCGATGGGATATATTACGCTCCAACCGCGCCGAGTCCCAGACCTTGACAGCGCCATCATGACCGCCGGTGATGAAAAACAAATGGTCAGGTGAAGCTACAACTCGAGCAATGGGTCCAGTATGCTCTGAGAACGTGGCCACAACCTTGCCTTCGGGTTTCCAAAGGCCAGCTCCTTGTTGAGCATTAACCTGGTTTGCCTTCGTTCGTGATATCGGCTGTACAAACGGCCCGAATTGAACCACGTCGCGTGGGAAGTTATCGAGGTACATGTTATCCAACATTCTCTGGATGTTGGGATCTGTTCCTTCGTAACTGTGTTTGGATATCTTCTTCACAGGAAGAGGGGCTTCTCTTGATTCCACGGTATGCGGCTGAGCGGGCTGTCCTTGGGCGAACGGTCCTTCGACCTCTCCAAAGGCATCTGTTACAGTCATGCCAGTTTCCGGAATGGATTTATTGCTATCCTTCCGATCTAGAAGACTGAGCGCGTTTGATAGAAGTCGAGTTCCTCGTCTTGAATCAGGTGTAGAATCCCCGTCTCCGGTTGATCCCTGGCTCGTAGTATTAAATTGCAACCCTCGGGTGTCCATCGAGCTTGATCGTCCAGCACCAAGAGGCGACAGTACCCTAGATGATGGCCTTGGGCGTGGGCCAACGCTCTGAACTCTTTGTCTATGATGATTGTTCAGCGAAGCTCGTTTCCTTTTGCTCGCCAAGTCATCGATAGTCATCGAGGCGTCCAATAAGGCATCAGCGATAGTGTAAGGCTCTGTTTGGGATAGAAGCTCAGCAAAGGCCTGTGGATCGCGGAGTGGCGTCTCATCAAAGAACACTGTCTGTGGCGTGACACCAATGGCTTTCAAAGATACGATTCCGTTTTGCGAGACGTTGTTTCCAGCAAAGCCATCACGGCTCTTAATCTTGCTCAGGCGGTAGATGAATTGCCGCAGCGCAAGCAGTTTTGGTTCGTCCTCAGACTTCAGGCCCAAATTTCTGAGCTTCATTAACCACTGCTCATCTTCTTCGTTGTGCGCTGTTTTCCCTGTTGCAGAGCCCAAGAGGTCTTTGGATGAACTTGCGCCGAGGAGTCTCGAAGGCAAGGACCTGGCCTGTTGGGCAGCTTTCCAGAAGATGCCTCTATCTGAGGTCATAGCCCATGTCACCGCTTGGTCAAACACGGGCCGCGAAATAGGTCTCTTAAGGGAATCCAGCAGGTTCAACTCGGAGAAGTCCCATATAAGATCCACCTTCAGATATGGTTTGACCACAGGCATCAAGATGCACCGGACATCGGCCGGATCCAAGTACTTTGTTGACAGTGCAACGAACTCTGCTGCCGATTCGCGTATCCAGATATTCGGATGCATCGTAAACCTACTGATAAGATCTACGAGCTCCCAAAGCTTGGGTCTGGATAAGAGTCCGAGGCCCGCCAGCTGCGCTAGGGAATGAAGCGCAGCCTGAACCACATACTCTTCGGTGTCTGTCAGAGCCTGAATCATGAGTGGCAACATGAACTCTTCCAAACTCTTACTTCCAACAAAGGTTGCAATACCGACGATAGCGTCAAAAAATGCACATTTCAGTGTCCAGTCCCGATCATTTAGGTAGGTGATTAAATGAGTCAACAACACATCGTTGGAACTCTCCTGAAAGAAAACGCACAGCTCCGGGACTGAAGCCAGGAATGCTCGCCGAACATATACGTCGGGGTCCTCGACCAGCTGCTTGGTATGGCTCTCAAGTATTTCGTATAACTGCCTGCCGGCATTATCAAAAACACCCTCAAAGTTAGCCTCAGCATCCATGCCAGGCTCCACTTCGGGGTCAGTCATAGGCATGGAGCCGTCTGCTCTGAGGCTAGATGCCATCGCGAGAAAACGCTTTGATGTAGTCGCAAGGCTTCCAATGCATGAAGCATACGAGGCCCTTACTAGGGGGCTTGAAATCTGCCATTTGGATCCCAAGGCAATCTCCATCCTGGGAAGGACGTACTCGACCAGTACGTGTGAATTAATAGGGGTGACGGTTTTAACAAGTTGTAAAAGCTGTGTGATAGTTCTTATAGCAGTGACCATCACCAGGTCCGTTTCGTCCTTATGTAGAAGCGTCATGAGATAAGGAAGCACTCGGTCAAGCTTTGCCTCATCGGTGATCCTTTCCGAGAAGGCTAGTAGGATATCACAGGCTCGGATACGAGATGAGACCCGCGCCGTTGTCCTCATTGATGATACAACCAATGTGAGGAATAGGAGAGTTCCGTCATCCTCAGGAGGTTCCAAGTCGGCCGAGACAGAATACTCGTGATTAGGAATACCCAAACGAACAGGGAAGTGGTTGAGCCCCAGTCTTGGACCAAGTTGTTGAGCATCAGCCTTCCTCTTCCCGTCTTGATACCCGAGGAAGTAAGATATTTTGTCAAAGTCGTAGTACACGCGATCTATCCTGTCGTCCGACTCTCCAAGGTTCTTCTGCGCGTTCGACATCATACTATTCCCAGATGACGGGTCGGTGATGAGCTCCATATACTGGTGGAGGAAATTGTAGAAGTATGACGGGAAGACTTTGTCTTTCCAAAATTCAAGATACTGATCAGCAGAGTAGCGCTTTTCTGGATCGAGCTGGATCATATGCGATATCATCTCCCGAACATCTTTGTCCGAGATGACACTCAGATGGGTAATGATGGGATCATACTCCCCTCTACGATATTTGTACAGCTGGGCGAGACTGAATATCTCGGTCTCGAGAAACATCTGGGCAATTACACAGCCGGCACTGAAGATGTCCATTGCCCAGGTCATGTGCGCCTTCTGAGGCGGGGCCTCGCCTGCAGCATAGAATCGCTCCGGCGCAATGTAGCATGTTCGCCGGCCAGAAGTATCGAAGAAGTATGAAAAGTCTCCCGGATTGTCGTCCGGGAGCACAACAGGCTTAAACGCTGACGAGAAATCGGTAAGGTAGAGCCAGTTCCAAGAGGTGACGAGAATATTCTGAGCCTTGATATCGCCGTGGTAAATATCGCGGGCGTGACAGTCGCGCAGTGCGCACAGGAGTTGAAACGCAAGCCACTTCTTCTCTATATCTTCGAGGAACGGCCGAGTGCTCATACGGTCGTAAAGAGAGCTATAGACGTGCTGGCGGACGAGATAACCGTTGGTCTCAGTTTCGATTATGCGCTGGAAGCCGAGGGCGTTCGGTACATCGGCCAGAGCTTTCCGTTCATCTACAAGTAATCAGACTAAGTCCGTATCCATATAGTTCAAAATATGAAAAACCAACTTACTGATTATCCTCTCCTTGTATTTATCCAGTTTGACTTCAGTGTATGGCTTCACCAGCACTTTGACAAGAACGACAC